GGTTCGATTACATGGAATTGGAAAAAAAAGATTGGAACGCATATGCAATCACATGTCGACAAACATAACTCCCCCGCCTGATAAACGGGGAAAGCATTTTACCAGACCAAATATGATTCCTGAAAATATCATTCAACAATTAAATGATCACATCAGATCGTTCCCAAAAAGGGAGTCGCATTACGGTCGCGGAAAAAGTGCCAAGTTTTATTTATCTCCTGAATTAAATATTAAAATCATGCACCAGCTTTATTTAAAAAAATACGAAAACCATTGCTACGAACTTCTCCAAAGAGGCGAACGTAACAAACCACTTATAACATACGATTTCTACTTTAGATACTTTAAAGAAAACTTTAACTATAGTTTTGGTAGATCTAGAACAGATACTTGCAAGAAATGTGACTTACTGGATAATAAGTTTAAAAGTACTTTAGATAAGCAAGAAAGAAATGCAATAAAAGCTGAAAAAGATGTACATTTAAAGAAATCCGAATGGTTTTATAAAGAATTAAAACAGCGTACAGAAGAAGCCGAGAAATATAAAGAAATTGAGGTCCTTTGCTTCGATTTTCAACAGAATTTGCCACTACCAAAAGTGCCATCTACAGATGCATTCTACCTACGACAGCTGTGGATGTACAATTTTTGTATTCATTCCGCTAAAAACAAGTCGTCTCATTTTTACATGTATGACGAAACAACTGCAAAAAAGGGAGCCAATGAAGTTATCAGTTTCTTACATCATTATATTACGAACAAATTAAGCCCAGGTGTTAAGAAGCTTTACTTATTTTCGGACAACTGCTGTGCGCAAAATAAGAACAATGTAATGGTCCGTTACTTGGCAGGGTTGTGCAAAATACAAAAATTTGAATCCATAATACATAGATTTCCTGAACCTGGTCACAGCTTTTTACCTTGTGACAGATCATTCGGTATTATTGAAAAGAAAAAAAGGTTGGTGGAACGTATTTACTTACCCCAGGAATATCACAAATTAGTTGAAAAAGCTTCGTTAAAATTTAAAGTTATAACTGTTACGCAAAATATGATTTATGATTTTTGTTCTCTTGTAAAGGAATTTTCTCTCCAAGTGCCAAAAAATCCTAATAAGGAAAAATTTGCTGTTTCTACTTACCGAGTTTTTTTGTATTCAGAACTTTCAGATGAAATTCAATGTAGCAAGACAGCTTGTGGATCTTTACTATTTCAGAAATTTACTTTACTGAATTTTAAAAAATCTGTCCAATTTACAGAAAAAAATACTTGCTATAATGCCTTGTTGCCCATTAAGGATGCAAAATTTAAAAATGTTATGCAACTGGCCACAGAGTACGTACCAAAATCTGATTTGGCATTTTATTACAATTTAAAAAGTACTAATGATCCCCTCGAAAATAATAATAATTCAGGCACAGATGGAGACGAAGATACCTTCTCTGAATAATAATGTAATTTAATATGTAATATCTTGACTATTCGTAAATTTTTATTTTTGTGACTTATCCCGTTCTTGTACCAAATAAACAAAATTCAAAATTTTTGCAGCCTTTCTTTCAGTAAATTACCCCAGGTCTCATTTTTTTGCCAAAACTATTTGTTTTTAATAATATAAAGTAATAATATTAATAATAAAAATAATAAAATAAAAATCGTTTTTTGAACATTTTTGAAATAGTGACTCATCCCCTTTTTGCATCAAGGTCCTCAATTAGGCAAAATACTTGTTCACTTTGGTATTACACCATGTGGGACTGCTTCTGATATGAAAATAACGTTAGAAGGAGAAATAGTACGAAAATATGAAAATAAGATCAATCCTTCCGACTAAGACTTCACAGAACTTTTGAAAAATTTAGAAATACCAGTAAATGAGGATTTATAAACTAAAATATTAGAAAATAAAATACAAAACTTGATCATGGAAGCTAGTAATGAACGTTTTAATAAATTAGAAAGTCTTATTAATAACTCTACAAATTATAACACAGCTCCGATTGACTTACGTTCAACCAGCAATGACAAAAATGTAAAATATACATCTATTCAGGAAGAAACAACAATAAAAAACGACTCTGAGTTTCACCGTGCAATGTCTATTTCATTGCCTAACTTTTGGAAACATGAACCAGAGTTAGGGTTTAACACAATAGAAACAATTTTTAAAATAAATAGGATTCATTCACAAACAATTAAATTTGGAAAAGTATTATCAGTATTAGATTGTTCTATTGTTAAAAAAAATTTAAATCTATTCCAAAATCAAGAATTACCTGACGCTTTCTCTATTCTCAAATTGCAATTAATTAAAAACTACGAAATTCCTGAAGAAGATAAAATTACAAAATTATTCGAAGAGTGCCAACTTGGCGATTTAAAACCCAGTCAACTTTATAGAA